AGAGGACCACGCGCGCTGGCCTACGTTGCCACCGACTAACTGTGGCCACTATTCCACCGCGCACAAAGAATATTTGTTTCTTAACCCGGCGTCAGCACAGTCAAAATATGCATCAACGACAGTAGGGTTGGGTCGAGAGGACCCGTATAAGAAAACGCCATAATTACAAAAGTTAAAGTAAATTTGGTTTGTGGTTGTACTATCTATATAAAACGATTATCGTTATAGGTTTTGAGTAGAAAAAAACACAACATGATACGAAACTATCTTTTTAATGTCATTTTCATAAGAGTGTCACAAAATATTAACAAAATGGACAACCTCTGTCTTAAAGTAATAAAATTTTAACAAAACAAACTTTTTTCTATAACATAAACTAATTTGTTACATGTTAATCAAATCTTTGGTAGACTAATAATATTATACTATTTGTATCAGTCTCATACGTCAGTTATAGTATCCTTATCATCTGCGCAATCTCGGCAGTACAACATTGCATGCTCACTGCAGATGTATTTGCATATACAGCTCCGAAAAGTATTAGTTTTCTATCTTTTTTGGCAGAACAGTCTTGGCATCTCTTTCTTACATAAAGTATCTTCACAGGTGGCTCCTCATCAGGTACCTACTCCTAAAAACTCTCTTATTCTTTTGCGCATAAGTCTTGGCAACTCAGTGACATCTTTACGATTGCACAAATGCTCACGAACCAGTATAAGGCTTAAGTTTCTTTAGAAATTGGCGTTATGTAATATGTACGCATTTATTTCAGACATATTTGCCAAAAATAACAAAATAAACAATATAAAACAACAATAAAACATTTTTTTAAACGGCGCAAAATTACGACACGAATAGTATGGTTGGGTCATATTTACCTTTTTCGTGTTTGGCCGTGTCTATCACTCGCTGCGGCCGCAACACGACTGATTGGCGAATCCCACGTGGAGGGGGGACCATTAGCTCCAGCTACTGAGAAGTTTGGCAAAGTCGCACAAACATTTTAAGAAACACGCTCATTTGAAAACTGCTCGGGTCAAATAGACCCAACTGTGCGAACGCCGGGTTAAATTTTCACGCACATCACTCATTAAATAAAGCGTACAAAGAAGTTTAGTGACTCATTTCTTTGTCAAAAAAATCAGCAATGAATAAAACTTAGAGTACGTCTTTGACAACATTGTTTTTCCAAGTAACTAGGCAACCGCAACAGAGGAAGTTCACCATGTCCCCGCCCCTCACAGACTCCCGGTATAGCTAGAGCTCAACGGCAGGGATCATCCGGGGTATCGCGGGTGATTCCGCAATAGACGTGCGCAGGTCGGCCCGCGCTGGGAGCTAAGTGTGCGGCTTATTGCCCACCGCAGATAGCTGATACAGCAGTTCTACCTGCCACAACAGCCATCCTCACCCTGTCGGCCTGCATGTTGCTTCTTCACGCCTCTTTTAAAGGATCCCAGGTTGTAAGAGGGAGGGAACACGTGAGCGGGCAGAGCATTCCATTTACGGATAGTGCGACTAAGAAATGAGTCACCAAATTTCTTTGTACGCGTTGGAATTGTGGCCACAGTAAATCGGTGACAACGTAGGCCAGCGCGCGTGGTCCTCTGAAGGAAAGGGGAAGGTGGGATAAGAGAGAATAACTCCTCAGAACACTCACCGTGGTACAAACGATAGAACGCGCTTAGTGACGCCACGTCACGGCGTAATTGAAGAGGCTCAAGGTGTTTAGTCACCTCCTCATCGCCTATGATGCGGATCGCGCGCCGCTGTCACCTATCCAAAGCATCGAGCAAGTACTTGGCGGAGCCATCCCAGAGGTGTGAGCAATATTCCACGCAGGACCGCACTTGCGTTTTGTACAACAAGCACAGTAGATCGGGCGTGAAAAAACGCCGAACCTTGTTCAGAACTCCGAGTTTGCGTGAAGCTGTTTTGATCACGGTTTCGATGTAGTCCTTTGGATTCAGGTCTGAGCGAACTTCCATACCGAGCATGGAAATGTTGCTCTGCAGCGGTAGTGTTGTGCCCTGAAGAGATGGAAGGGGAAGGAATGGCGATGTTTTTGCCGTGAAAGTGCAAGCCTGAGTTTTCTTGGCATTGAACTCAACCAAGTTCCTGGTTCCCCATTCGGAAATGTGGTTCAAAGCCTGTTTGAGCTCAATGACAAGATTTTCCCGTTTCTCCTTGGTTACTACCTGCCCAGCCGCTGCTTGTCCGAGATACCCCGCATGCACTGTACTGTCGTCTGCATAGCAATGAATATTCCCAAGAGGAATTAAGTCATTGATATGCAGCAGAAAGAGAGTGGGGGATAGGACGGAGCCCTGGGGAACGCCGGCATTCACTGACATGAACTGCGAATTGCTACCATCAGTAAGGACACGAATTCTACGCTCATGCAGGAAGTCAGCTACCCAAGAACAGAACTGGGCTGGCAGACCGTATGCCGGAAGCTTGGAGAGAAGGCTTTTGTGCCAGACCCTGTCGAACGCCTTGGCAATGTCAAGGCTGATAGCCAACGACTCGCCACGCTTGTCGATAGCCTCACCCCAGATATGAGTTAAGTACGCTAGAAGATCACCCGTCGATCGTTTCGGTCTAAAACCATATTGACGATCATTAATCAGGGAGTGATCCTATAGGTAGCAGGTGAGATGGTTATTAAGGACCTTTTCTAAAACTGTACATAAAACTGAGGTGACTGCTATTGGCCGGTAGTTTGCCGGGTCTGAGCGATCCCCTTTTTTGGGCACCGGTTGCACGTTAGCATCTCTCCAAGTCTCCGGCACACGCCCCAAAGAATACGAGCATTGGTACAAGCGCGTGAGCACGGGAGACAACTCCGCTGCACATTTTTTAAGTACTACTGCTGGGATGCCATCAGGTCCACTAGCTTTCCGGACGTCGAGTGATTGCAATTCGGCACGAATCTCACGCTGCCTGATTTTAATATCAGGCATCGTTGTGCCACAGTGAGGTAATGATGGTGGCAGTGCATTGCAATCATCGATTCGGGAGTTAGCCGCAAAGAGTTTTGCCAGTAAATCAGCTTTCTCCTGCGGCTTATGAGCTAGTGTTCCGTCTGGGCATCTCAGAGGTGGCAGCGAGGGCTGGCAGAAGTTTTTTTGCACGGCCTTGGCCAAACGCCAGTAGCTACGGGTGCCCGCAGGATGCGTTATAAGTTCCCACGTGCCAACACGTGCAACACGCTGGGCATCCGCTCTGATGTAAGCCTTCTTACAGGCCTTGGAAGCAGAATTGTAGGCTGCTTTGAGTAAATCGACCCCGGGATCCTTGAGAGCGCGGCCTCTGATCGAATCACGATATGCCGCTTGCTTACGCGAAGCAGCTTCAGCACAGTCGTGATTGAAGCAGAGGTTACGTGTGCCCTTACTGATGAAATCAGAATGACGAATATAGTATTCCATACCCATTGTAATCTCCTCAGTAATGGCAACGGCACTGCCCGATAGGTCCCTGTCACGGACCCAAGGGACGGACGCAAAGTAATCGCGCATACCGACCCAATCTGCCGACCCATAATGCCAGATACGGCGCTTGACCACTGCTGGACGCGGAGGCTTGGCCTGTGGTGCTTTGGCAGATATCAGGCAGTGGTCGGACGAACCCAGGGGGGCTCTTACCACAACCTGATAGCTCTGTGGATGGGTCGTGAGCAGAAGGTCCAGTAAAGAAGGCGCTTGACTTGGAATATCTGGGATCCTGGTGGGCTGATCAACCAGTTGCTTCAAGTCATGCGTGAGAGCGAATGTGTGAGCAGAGATCCCTGCATGGTCAGTTTTGGAAGAACTTAACCACAAATTGTGGTGAGCATTAAAGTCCCACAAAAACACCAATTCTGCATTGGGAAATTGTTCCTGCGCATCATCTGCTGCCCGACTAAGGTGCTCAAAAAGTCGAGTTGTCTCAACATCGCCGGTGTGGGATCTGTAGAGGCACACGTAGACTCTGGCCAGGGGGCCAGAGTCGACGGGGTGTTAGGCACCCTACCACCAGAAGAGCGGATGGAAGCTCCGACGTCCCTTAGTCGCTTCTTACGACACCCACGGAAAGAAAAGGGGCGGTGAGTTGTATTCTTTCTCCGTCACCGCACGGATAAGAAAAAGCTCTGAAATTATTGTCAAGGCATTTCCCTCTCAGGCCCTTCCGTATTCCTCTAATGTAGGACAGAACTACACGTCAAGAATCCGTAGATGACCGTGGCAGCGGGTGATTCACTCAGATAGGGTCACTTAGCGGGCGCAGCCAGGGCGCGCCTTCCCTTCCCCTACCTGTTATTCTGTGGTGGCAGGCGACGACCAGAGGATTGTCCTCCTGTTCCCTCTCTGCCTCCTCCTTCTGCGAGGTGACATCGTCTCAGAAGGAGGCAACTGCTTCCAAGCCGTTTCGCTACTGTGCATGGCCTCGACAATTCTCCGCAGCGAGAGGGAGAACCTAATCTCCTAGGTAAACGATTCAATACGGCCCTGCTATTATAAACACAAATTTTGGGGCCCACGACAAAAGCCAAGAAACAGTACTTACGTTTAAAATTGAACTTCATATATCAATTTATAAGTTTTTTTCTTCGAAGAGACGAAGTTTCATTGAAACTTGAACCCCCTATTTTAACTAAGGGAATGGATTTCCATAAAAAACATTGCAATAAACTTGTATTAATACTTAAGCTTACTTATCAGTTTTCACATTTCTATTTTCAAATTGACCTAATTTTATGTGATCTGATTTTATTACTAAGTTCCGTAGTACTATGGAAATCGATCTATGGAAAACAGAAATTTCCTCATTAAAATGATAAAAGTTTTATAAAAAAAGTAACAACAAAGTTTTGATAGTAACGGAAAGTCACGTCCATCAAGTTACTCATTACATTCTTCAAAATTTACATGGTTTCATATTAAAAACCCTAAATCAAACCAAATGTCCAAAAAATATAATAAATAAATAATTGGAACGACCACTAATAAAACACTCAATTAGGGTTGTACGTATTTATTTTCAAAACTTGTTTTTTATTTGTTTTTCTTGTTGGGCATGGTACAGAAAAATTTACTATTATATAAATTTTCAGAATAAAAGGTCTGAAAAAAAATTTATAGACTTATTATCCTAAAATTCAAGCAAAACTAACACCGATGATTGAATTTTGTTCTTCCACTCATTTTAAATTTCTTCTAATCAAACAATCAAAATAAACTCCTTCTGATACCTAAATCATTTATAAATTGTAACCTTAAATAAGATTATAGCTATAATAACAAAGTAACTCCTGTCCTGCTTTCAGGCTGAGATGAGAATAGAAAACAAAAACAAAAGGGGTAACTTTTTTATAATAGGTATTATGAAGACAGTTTCAATAAAATTGCCGTCTTAAACTTCAGTAAGAAGTGAATCATTCAAAACCCAGGCGTTGGTGGAATCGGGTTACGATAGAATAATGCGTATATGAGATCCCATAATGTTGCGCGTAGCGGCATAACTGTTGGTTTCAACTCCACGGTTTGTCCAAAAACCATACACGGAGATCTGTATGCATTCGCTGGTGGCCATTGAGGTATCGCCGTACAACCCTCGGGAGTCGGATTCCTGCAAGAAAACAAGTTCAAAATTATAAAACCTACACAGGCCCTAAGAGACAATCATCATGAACCAATCATTTTATTATATTCTGAACCAAAACGTGAAAAAAAGCATTAATAATTTCCTATTTAGTTACTTTCTATTTATAATTTCACCAAGGATTGGTGTATCAGCAATATTCTTGCCATCTGCTCTAAAAGTCCTGGATTCAAATACCACATATGGGCACAAATATTTGTTCTCAGAGCATGATTATACTCATACATTGAAATTTTATATATTATGTAGTTTCCTTAGAACACACAGAACAATGATCGGTATCAGTCAGTTTTGGATAACTTGACCTGCGACTATGCAAAAGATACCTGCTAGTTAATTTAATCCTTAATTACGACGCAAAATAGTTTAACAATAAGTTAATAGTTTTATTCTTAGAACCAGAAGAAAAAAGGTCCTGAAATCCCGCAATTAGTCAAACTAGAGCAAAAGTGGATATTCCTGCAAAACGCTTTGACAATAAAAATTTCGGCCTCAATTAAACTTAAAAATAAACAGAAGGTTTTCATACCCGGTTATTGCAAAATTGATCCACTCTTCTCTTATTATTGATTTCATATTTTTGTACTGATATGATAAATTCGAATAGTTTTGATCAACAGCCGCAAAGCCTTGTGCGCAATGTGCTGCTCCTCTTATATTGGCATACGGTATCAACGCCGAATCATTGTCAACAAAAGAGTATTCATGTAGGTACATCTTATGATTGCCAGCATTGACTTGCAAAGTAAGAGAACGCAGCATTGGATACGCGAATATCACATCCGTGAAATAATCTACGTACTGCAGAACATTGTCATTACCGATTACTTGGTTTCCAAAATAAAACTTTTTCACTATTTCAGCTACTAATTCTTTTATAATAGGATCTTTGAATGTCAAATCGGCGGGAAGAAATTCTGAAAAATTCTTATTCATATCATTCTTCCACGTATCAAAGTAATTTATTCTAAATAAACCATCTCTTTCAGTGAATCCATATAAAACCGGATACTTTACATAATCGCCGCTCTTTAATATGTTAAAAGGGCTATCTTCCAGGAACATTTTTTGCCCCATGTTCCGCTCTACGCAAGGTGTGAAAACGACACTCGAATTTTTTAAACATAATGGAGGATCAGAAATAAGTAATTCATATGAAGCATTCTTGTAAAATTGTTCGAGGTCGTAAAGGTTAGCTGCATCATAATTAAATCTTCTTGCCTGAATTCTTGCGTATTCTACAGGATCAAGTTGTACACTAGTTACTCCGACATTGGCACTGCTCATTCCTATGACCTTTTTAAATAACCCTCTTGTTAGTTTAGAGAGCATCAGGAGGTCAACGGAGGAACCGCCAGCGCTGCATCCAACGATAGTGACGTCATCGGGATTCCCACCAAAAGATGCTATATTGTGCTTTACCCACTGCAAACATGCAACTTGATCTTTCATTCCAGCATTTCCGGGTATGTCTTCGGTCCCCATACACAAAAAACCGAGAATGCCCAGTCTATAATTGCATGTCGCCGCTATAAGTTTTTGTGAATCTACCAATTGTTTGGGTGTGGTTACATCACCATAGCCTACGAGGAATTGTCCTCCGTGAATGATTACCATCACAGGTAAATTTGTCGCATTTGTATTAGGCACGTAAACGCTAGCGACGAGGCAGTCTTCTTGCGCAGTTTTGCCTGCTGGAACTGAAAATTGAGGGCAGATGATACCTTTGTCTATTGCATCATAAGGTTCTTCCCACGTTGGAGGGGCGAGAGGTGCCTGGAAAAAAAACAATATGCTTAACATTTCGAGCCGTTACCGCCAAATTATCGTAAGCGACACTTTTGTCGAAATGCGTTTTTTGTGGAAACTAATATTTTAAACCGTAACGGACCCATCTCTGTTGATATTTCCCTCCAACCTTCCTTCCATTATATTATAACGGTGTTCTTTTGGAGCCACCACGCTTTTCTCAGCCACCCCCGGCTGAGAAAAGCGGTAAAAAAATGAAATGAAAATTAGTTATTCGAGCGTGGCAGCATTAAAAGGGAATGTTTAGTGAAGTGAGTGTTCGATTTAAATTAGTGATGATTTGGAAGTGACCTAAACTCATGACTGATTTTTGAAAATGTTAAAAAAAATTGTTAATTTAAAATACTCGAGCGCGTCAGATTTTTCTACTGTGGGATCAATTTGATGTCAGAGTCACTCTAAATGATTATCTGACAATTATTTAAGGGGTATACGTAATCTGACAATTTAAAACAATTTTGATGTAACAGTTTTGGAATAAAACAATTTTTTTTTGTTCCTTCTGTTTATTACTGGATGTAATAAAAAATTGACATATACACAAATATAGAAAAGTCAATCGTTAATATAAAAGTAGATAAAAAATATTGTTAAAGAAAAAAAATATCTTCATCTTCACTGGATTTGTCTTCGCGGTGTAATGGATATAAACATCATTTCATAAAATTCACAAAAATACTTAAAACACAAACACAAGCACGTTATTTTGTGATCAGCTGAGATGGCATCATAGCATCAGACGCTACCGTGGGAACTGCGAGAGAGTGAGAGATTGGGAAAGAGTGAGAAGGAACAAGAGGCGTGGAGTAGGGAATACACTGCTCTCAGCAACTGTACGCTCATGCTTTATCGATTGTTTTAGTTACATCGCTCCATGAAAACCGTCAGATTATATGTTTCATCATATATTTTTTTAATTGCGCTCGAGTATTTCGGGGTGACGTTTTTTTTTACAACTTTGTGACTCCCCCATTTCCTTATGTCACTCTCAAATTATCAGATTATTGGAATATACACTTTTCTTGATGTACTTAACTTACCTGTTCTTAATCTGACGCGCTCGAGTTGTTTTGAGAATCGATTTTTTTTTACTAATCTGACGGACTGTCTTAAACGCACCCCATTATGTTAAGGGTTCATATTTGGTAGGGGTACATTAAAGGGTGCAAGGTTTCTCCCCATATGATTTTCTGACGCGCTCGAGTAACTCGCAAAATCCCCGCTTGGGCTCCCCTACTACTACGCAGGACTACATAGTACACCGCGCAATCATTTTGTTATCGTAGTAACTTTTTAAACATTTGTCCAAAGGATATAGTGTAAAAGGCAAAAAATATCGATTTTAAATATCAAAAGAGGTTAAAGTATTTGTTTTGATAAATAATAATTTGTTAATACAAAGTATGCATTTTGGAAATAAATATCAATATTTTATTTTATTTTAGATTTACTATTTTTGCGATAATGGCTTACACATTAAAGATAGATATATGCTGTGCCGGACTTTTTTGTAGAACTATTTGAGAGATACATTTCCACGCAGGCCAAAGATGGGAGATTTTTTCCGTCTTACTTGACACTTATTGTTATATTTTTCCCCATTCAGTCAATAGCTTCATAAAAACATAACATTAATATATAATCTATATGTTATTGTTATGTATGAGCTATATTATCGTTCGTGAAACGGAGAGCTAGTGGATGGAAAATGAATCTATCAAAAAGGTCAGCAACAGTTAGGTTTCATTATTTTTTTTGAAAAACTAACAAAGATCCCTACAAACGTAAGATTGAAATTAAAAGTGCAAGTGGCTGATATAAAACTTATTTTCTTGTAGATCCTAAAGAAACTAAACAATCACTAAAAATGAAAAATGATATAAGAAACCTGAACATGAAGAATCGATTATCTAGACAATGATACCCCACTCAAGATATTGTGTCAACTTATTTTATTTTCTTTCTTACAATATGGGACCTAATTATCCCCATATTGAGTTTCGATTACTAGCATATCTTTAGTAGCACTCCCATAATTGAGTCGAATCGATTGACGTATGAATCATCAAAATCGGTCCACGGGTTTAGTCTCTAGTGTGGAGGAACATACATTCATACATATAACAATGTGGTATTAATAAAAGAGTTACTTCTAGTTTCAGTTAGTTTAATTTCCTCTTATCACATTATTTGCTATGTATAATCATCGCGCCATTAAGCTGAAAGGTAAAATACTCCGTTTTCATCAAAAATATAAATGAACTTCATTATCCAATTGTACCACATAAAAATCTCGTTCAAACATTTTAAATAAATGTGAATACAGATAATAAATTAAGGTAAATGTGACTGTTAACACAATACCCTTTCTGCGCGTCGCGCTTCGCGCCGCTTGCGTGCGCTTTCGGGTAAAAAGTTTTCAGACGCACGTTTCAAGCGGATCCGCGCTCGCACTGTCCCGCTAAAAAACCCTGCGAATACCCTCTAAGCTGCTTAGTGCGAAACCGCGGGATTCCCGTTTAGGGACTCTTCCGCGTCTCCGCACCCAGCAGCCTCCCGGCCTAGCCGGGGCTCCACGGGACAATGCGCCGTACCGGCCAGCTAAGGATCCCCGCGGGCAGATTCATGGGACGGGCGTAGCCAGGGCACGCACTCGTCCTCTCCTGCCCTCTCTTCTTCGGCGGGAGGGAGCGGTCAGGGGATCATCCTCCTGCTCCCTCTCGGCTGCCTCCTTCTGCGAGATAACGTTCTCGCAGAAGGAGGCGCTCGCACTGTCCCAAGCGTGATATCGTGTGCGTGAGCGGTATCTATGTGTCCGATGCGTTGCTCACTTTTTATGCAGATTATTCCTTCTATATTATATTTTTTGTGGTTATACAGTTTATCGTAATTTCTATCAAAACAATTGAGGCACACTGAACCCTGTTAATAAATTCATGAGGTACATTGAATAAGCTAAGCATTATCACTACTTTTATAAGTTTAGCTTGAGTGCACTCGAGTGGCCTGGCTAGATATAAACACATACGTCAAATACAACATGTGCTAGACCAAAGAGTCAATACGGATTTTCAATGTAATGTATGCAAATAATTGTTATTACAGTTGATGCAATACCAACTCGAATTGAATGGAATAGGTATGCAGAGTAAATATTATTGTCATAGTTAACATTGAATAATGTTTTTGTTTCTATATATGCACCTGCACAACGAATTCCATGGTGTGGCCATTTCACCTGATTCAATACCCGGTAATAAACAGGTACATTATATGATTTATGCCGCGATAATTATAGTAAGATTAGCTCGATGGCGCAGGTGTTTAGTGCGTGTAGTTTGCGATTGAGAAAGTTAATGGAAGTCATACGCGTTAGGTTTTGCATGATGGTTTTAACCGTGCATGCATAACCGACGTGCAGAACCGAGTTTCATATTGCACATACACGTTAGGGTTTGCATGCACAGTTTTGCGATTACTCTCAGTTGAGCTACGTTACCGGTGTGTGTAGAACGCCTATTATTTTTTTTGATCACATCTTCTTTTGTAGCTGTGAGCTCTAATCTTTGTGCTTAGTTATCAATCTCTGGTATGCTGCCTATCGTTTGTCTCTGTCGTGATATTCTTTGCACTTTACGCGCCAAAGACAAGGTTCAGACTTATACATTTCTATGAATTCTTCTAATGTGGCATTGCGCCTGCGACTCGCCATTTTCAAAACGACGCGATAAAGCTCGCGCGCGTGACCATCCGCCATCGTAACAATTAAAAATTGAGAACTGTGACAGGCAAGCTCGACGGACGCCACACACGCTCGGTTATGCTCGCGCGCAAAAATAACCAAGCGGCATAAAATATCAATTTTGATATTTGTTCGGTTGCATGTACATGCAACGATAACTGTACAGTTTTATCACATACACGCTAGGGCTTGCCTGTCGGTTATGCATGAATAGCTAAAACCATCATGCGAAATTAATGTGTATGGCCTCCTTAACCAACTTTCGCAATGGCCAGTTATTGGATGGGTGACCAAAAGCTTATTATCTCGAGCTCCTTCGTGATTCGGAAGGCACAATAAGCCATTGTGACTGCCGACACTAGAAGAGGTTTGTTCTATCTGCGAACTTTCGCATTTTCTAATATAAAGAATGTATGATCAAAAATATTTCGAGATCCGTACGAGGGGAGTGTCATGGCTGCATCTACAGTGGTTAACACCCACCAATCCACGCTGATCCCTTTTTCCTATTCCATCGATACAGAAGGCTTATGTCCCAGCAGTGTGTGTTTTTATTGAAAATGATGATGAAAATTTTATGAAAATGCAATGTTATTATAACACGGAGCTAATGAGTCATCCTTGGAGGGCATTTTTCGAGCGTAACAGACTCGTATCTCCTAATTAAACAAATATTTTTTTGTATATACAAAAATGAATCGTTGAAAAGTATGTATGCGCATCACTTTCGAAAGACTGAACCAAATTGGATAATTCTTTTTTATTGTGTTCGTTAATATCAGGACAAGGTTTGTATTAGTCGCGACACGAAACTCTAGCGCTGACCGTTATTGCGCAGAAGTAAAAATTAATATGACTTGGAGGAAATGAGGTGCACGGGTGGGCGTGCGTTGCGCCGGCTGGCTCTCCAGTCGTACGCATCCCCTCCGCATTTTGCTCAGCGCTAGAATTACGTGCCGCGACATGTATAAAAGATTTTTTTCAAAAGTCAAGAATAAGAAGTAACCAAAAAATTTTTTTTTAAATAAAGTTTGTTATTCCGCCATCTTCGAGTTTTGAGGTTTTGAGTATTGAGGTTTCCGATATTTCTTCCGTAAACTTTGAAGCGTTACAAAAAGCTAAGCAAAGCGTTACGGAAAAAAACATTACTCGTTAATTCTGATACTACGAGTAAAAGCTCCAATATAATTTCTGTAGTATTTATACATAATCCAATCATAATATAACACCTTTTGTTTTACTGTTTTTAATAAATTTGTTTTTTTTTTATTTATTAAATTGTAAAAAACTCGGTAGTTTCATTGAAAAAAAATATTCATAACTTTTCGTGCAATTAAGTTATGGCCATGCTGGTGCATGATTTTTTGTTGGAAAATACCTGCTTTATCTCCCTGTTTCGTTTGATCCACAACTTTTTGACCACTCTATATATTCGGTTTTTACTCACTTTCAACTTTAAGAGTAATTTCCAGCTGTTACTCTATATGTATAGTTAGAGTACGAAAAATGTACCGTACAAAAAATATACACATCATGTGCACAGGTTCTGCCCTGGCACTTTTTAATGGTTGCTATTAGTATAATACCTGTAATAATGATGTAACATTTAAAAAATATTACATCCTGTTACTCGACCGGCCAGGTTTTTTGCAGTCAGCTCTTTTAATAGCGTCTAACAATCTAACAATTTTCATACTTCGATTGGACATTGGACTAGATTTATAAAGAAATGCAGGGAACAAAAATTGCAGGAAAATAGCACACACAAATCTAAAGCAACTGAAATTACGCTTATAATGTTTTGGCTAGGCGACAGAAGAAATATAATAAGATTAATATCATAGTTTTTATTTCAAAATGACATAAATCTCTATTACTGCCTTTGGTTTTGGTTTCCAAAAAAATAAACTACTCTTAATTACCCAGTATCGTAAAGGTTGACTAAGGGATTAACTGTATCCAATCTTCCAATCCAATCTTAACCCCTTTTAAATATGTAACAGTAACCTTCAACGATTTACTAAAAGGACGTAAATTTTTCTTCTAACATAAAAAATTATAACTGCCTTTTTTCAGGTAAGAACACTACTTAGAAGATCGGCTTGATAAATTACCACGCAAGATTATTTTTGTTTGTTAGTTCATCAAAACACCAATAACTAACTTGAACTTTCATCCGGTTGAACCAAGCCAAACTGCGTTCAAAGATGTATACCTAATTATGTGATGCAATTAACACCGAAGGTGATGCACAGTGCCGTCTTTGACCTATTGGAGGCCCTGGGCATATTAGGATAATGGGGCCCTATGAACTAGGGACATTTTATTTGATCTGAAGGGGAGCCCCTACTTGCCCAAAGTGCCCAATGGAAAAGACGGGTCTGGTGGCGCATCTAATGGTGGCCGATTGACCATTCTCCTAATGACGCGACGTATGTACAGTGGTAGTCCTTGTGAACATAAATAAGATGCCATAATTTATATATCCATCAATGTTATAGGCTCAAATTTTATGTTATGGAAATAACAAATAATAATAGGAAGTTTGTTAAAAACATATTAACATGATTACTATGACTTATTATGAGTCCTGTTGCTTTTTAAAGAAAGCTACTATTTTTGTGAAATATCATTTTAATACATGAAAGTATTTCTTAACATTTCAGCTTAATTTCGTATCTCTAGCCAAGTTTTAAAAAAAATAAGTACTGGGTAATTTCCATAAAATTTATTAATGTAAATTCCAAATAAAAAAAATGCCATAAGTATACATTCGCTTTGTGGGGAATTTAAGTTTTCAAGATATTTGTGTTACTTAGGATCTTCAATTAAGCGATTTAAAAATGGTATGGAAATTACACTTCCGGAGAATCACCCTAATAAAGTTTAAAAAAAAATGTAATTTTACTCGTTTTTGTTGAAGTTTGTTTTAAGAATTGTTTTATTTTATGAAGTATAATGTGATATCAATTTTCCCGAAGTCCCCGGCATAAATATTTTACTATACGTATAAATATGTTTACTCTTTTGTGAACATACCTGAAACCGTTGTGCTCCTGTAGGTACAGTCGCATATGGAATACTGTTGAAAACGAAAACATTTTCATCCTGCGCCTTATGTCCAATAACTGGACCTTGGCAAATTTCCACCAATTTCGATTCTTGCGCCTCCGACGCAGGCAGCAGTGCGCTGGCGCACAACAATACTATACAGGCTAACATTTTACTCAATCGAAGTGCCTATACTGATCCACATCAAGTGATTTGAAATGTTATATAGGTGGTGTTCATCGAAGCGTGGCCAAATTATCAACTTTATTTATTTTTATTTTTTTTGACAAGGTTTCCGTACAACACCGTGACAACTGAAAACTAATACTTAGAGCCAAGACTAAGAGGTTAGTTTTCATTTTATTCTTAGGGTTTAACTCTGGTCCGAACATTAAATTTTTTATAGTGTTTAAAGGGATGACCAAAAAGATTGGAGGGACGAGAAATAAAACTTTCATTTCCCGTCCGTCCTTAGGAGTTAAACCCTAAGAATAAAATGAAAACAAACCCCTTAGGCTTGGCTCTATTCAATATACAATTTCAGAACGAACACTTACTGCGAAATAATTCAGGCGATCGGAGCAGGGTACACAAATGATTTGTTAGAACATCAATATCATTGGAAAATATAATCAAAGTTTTGATGGAAAAATCGGACGTGTTCTATGCATAAGGTCACCAATTCACATCCGTAAAGATACGACGATCGAATCGGAACAGTTTACAATTTTAATGCAAGTCAGATAGTCTGAAGGTGTTTCAGGCTTACTACGATCTCTTATTGCAGAACTGATTAAGTTCTTAATAAGAACTGCTTTCAATTTCCATTCAGTCGAAATCTGGATACAATGTTTCAACTAAAAGGTGGTATCCGATTTGTGGCGCCACATTCCTACCATAATTAAAATGTTAATGGAAACTATACCGTATAAGAAGGCGTTGGCAACTTACATAATTAGTTCATTCTTCAACTACGTAACGAGTCATATTAGACAGACTATAGCAATCGGCTTGATCATTCATATAATTGAGACTACGAGCGATGTTACAAACACCTCAACCTAAACTGAATCGGAATCCAAAAATAGATAGTACAGAAGGTAATCTCACGTGTATACTTCAATTTTCACACAAACGCTCGGCGGTCGCATTAGTATTGTCAAAAAAAAACGTAGTGGCACTCGTACGTATCTAGTTGTAAGAATTATTGTTGTGAAATAAACAGTAAGAATGGAAATATACAACTATTTAAATTGTAATGTTGATGTTATATTAGACCCAAATTTAAAAACCTTCACATTTGCGGCGTTTGGAGTCGAGACTCAGGGTCCCTGGGGATCCGGTGCCCACCATCTTTTCAAAGATATCGCGAAAAGATTGGTGGAGACCACTGGAGACCGCAGAGCTGGCGGCTATTTCGCCCAGCGCATAAGCCTCGCCATTCAGAGGGGAAATGCCGACGGGGAAGACTTAGGGCAGCTTTTTTGTATCATAGCATAGTTTTAATTTTTGTCTAGTTTTAGTGTAGTTTTAATTTGATATGTAAATATTTATTTTTCTATTTTAACCTGTAAATTTTAGACCCAAAATTAAAAAAGAAATGTGTGTTGGGAGACATAGTAGAAGTGAAACTTCAACGGACACATGCCAAGACAGCCTTCGCCTGCCTGCTGCCTCTAACCGCGCGATATATCTTCTACCCTTTCCATGCGGCCGTAACGCGAATTGGGAATTTAGAATTGAAATCCAAAACAAATGGTGCATTCGGTACAACGGGTCCTAAACTACGTAACAAAATTATCACTATCAGTTATATACATTATATGGAAGATATAAAGAAATTCATTGTGTATAATTAAAGCCTGTGAAACAAAAAATATAGTCTACATTACAGCTCTACACTGAAGCGAAGCGAGGGCAGGCCACCAGTCTCCAATAAGGGGTAAAGCACGAGTGGTTGGTGCGTGCGCGGTGTACCTGCGGGGCTATTCTGTAAAATCTTCAGACGCGAATCCGATGCGGTTCCACGCGAATCTATATGGGAATCGAGCGGATCCGCATCGGATCCGCGCGTGAAAATTTTACAGAATAGACTCACTAGTGCGCGTCTGAGGCCATCACAAAAGTCGCGGCTGCCTTCGCGGCACCATCGTCCCCTTCACATCCCAAGACAGTTGCTTGAGAGCCAATAACCCTACCTTACTAAAAATAATTGGGCTGTCTATCCTGTTTCGTCTTTAGTATATGCTCTAAGTGTTTCGTATAATTAACAGATAAAATTTGTTACCGACTGAAAAGTTTAAGTGTTTCTAGCTCCACCATTCCAGATACAAATAAAGACGGATACAGATATTGGTGATAACCGTATTTCCACTTAAAGAGCCAATGTGCAAAGCGCTGCACTCTTTCTTTTCCAACTACATATATATTTCTCCTCTTAATCCCAGGCGATGGCACCGTATCCTAATTAACTTCGAACATACGCATTGTAAAGAACCAGTGCAGCCCCATATCCATCAAACTGAGATGAAGTACGTATGACGAAGCCAAGTAATTTGTTTGCATTTTTACATATAGTGTCCACATGTTTGTGAAAGTCGACTCTCAAGTCCAATACTGAGCGTAAGTCACGAATTTTTCTTACCCTTTCTAAGGGAGTGTCAGCTAAATTCTAATGTACACTTAGTTAACAGCACTTACGTGTGAATGTGGTGATATTACATTTATTAATATTAAATGGGAGACGATTCACTACACTTCAATTCACCACCGCGTCTTTGTCTTTTTGCAATGCATTATAATTAGGTTATCTATACCAAGACTCAATTTGAGGTCAACTGCAAACAAAAAAATAATAAAGCACTTTCCGAACAGGTACCTATAGCATAAAGTTATTTTTAACACACTTGCTCAAAAATGCATTTACAGAGGTTGTGTACATTGTTCGACACCTAAAAGAATCCACTTCACAAAAACTTGTACAATGTAAGCTAAGGTATCAATAAAAGATACGTACGACACACAGACAATACCTACTAGATCTACCTACCTTGTGCCTTCTTTACGTGACAGAGTTTTTATTTGGAAATATTGCCCTCCAGAGATAGGACCCTGGGCATCCATCGTTCCATGACACAACGGCCAACGGACTTGCTCTTTGGGACTGCCAAAATGTATTGTGACCATAGATTGTGACGTGTAAAGCGTTGGTAGCTTTACTTTATTTTTGTCTATGACTACTTTTATAATGTTACTGCGAATATTGAAAAAGCTCAGGGTAAATTGAGAAATACAAATTTTTGTTGATATTCTTCATCACAATTTCGGTCATTTAACAGTGAATATTATTATGTCGTAAGATGATTGGATAAATCGAATTTTCGCGAAAATTCTAGGGAATTGTAAAAACGCGTATAATTAGATCATGGCGATGACTTTTCTCAAGCTTACTGAAAAAAGGTATAATTTTTGCGAGAACGCGAGTCGCCTTAGTTAGACTACGAAAATAATCGTTGGCTTAAGATAAAAATTCTTGGGTCTTTTTGGTTGTAACCATGAAACGCGAGCCGAAAGAGTGTAGCGAACGGACAGCGGTAGCGGCCGGCAAAGCGCCAGAAAAAGTATCGATAACAGTAATATTGAGCATTGTCATCGCCATCATCTAATTTATTAATGTTTTAGCAAAATCCCTATAGGATATACACGAAAAATAGATTTTTCAAAACAACCCGAAAAAATTCGTTGCCAGAAATATTGAGCAATGTCATCGCCATTATCTAATTATTCGCGTTTTCGCAAAAAAAAGGATATTCGCAGAAATTTGATTTCTGAAATCATCCTACGACATTTATACCTAAATCACGATCGAGGACTTGGTGTACTTATTTTATAGGAATATATTTCAATTAACTTTTGTTGTGTTATTCTAGTTATTATATTTACTTACTAGTGGCCCGCCCTCGCTTCGCTTCGGTGTAGAGCTGAAGTGTAGAGTACAGTTTTTGTTCTCAGGCTTGTGTTATACACATTGACATTCATCTATGTTTCTTCTTATACCTGCATGCCAAATTTCAGCCCGATCCGTCCAGTGGTTTGAGCTGTGCGTTGATAGATCACTATGGCAGTCAGTCACCTTTGAGTTTTATATATTACTAGCTGACCCAGCGAACTTCGTACCGCCCTAAAAAAATAGGGGTTGTCCAGCGGACAAAATTGTGAATCTAAACCATTCTCAGATCCCCTTGAACACACACAAAAAATTTCATCAAAATCGGTCCAGTCGTTTAAGAGAAGTTCAGTGACATACACACTCACAGAAGAATTATATATATAAAGATTATATATATTTGTTACGTCACCGTAAACTGACGATATGAGATGTTGTTGGGATTGCACTATACAACATAATTCAGGCGTCAGAATAAGTTTTCCTTGGTGTAGCAGTGGAAAGGTACCTTCACCAATCCTTAATAATATATCAGAAAACTCACAATCATCCGGGTTATCTCCAGTTCTCACTCGCATGTTTATAGTCAAATGCACCGATTGTATATCACGCCACAAATAAGAGCTTTTCAGGCAAGCCCTAACCTCATCAGCTCGGGTTCCCCGTGGTATTGTTTGTCGGAAATCACCACAAAATTAAACTGTGATACCGCCCATTGGTCGATCATTTTGTCTTATCCGTTACACAAAAATAAATCCTTATAGCATGATTCAGTATTCACGTGCGACGACGCGATGGCTTATTTCATGTATAAGTTTGGTGTTTCTATACCGATTTCTATAATTCTTTTTTTATTGAATAGGTAATAATGTTAACTTTTTTAAATTAGGGATGAGAGAGAGTATTATAAATGTAAGAGTAAACAAATGAATAAGAATGCTCCGAACTGTTAAGCTATCAGGAGTTACACGTGTTATTGTAAGTCAACCATAAAAGATAGACATATGCTGTTGCGGGATATTTTTTAGAAAATTTTATGTAGAATATTTTCGTCATACATAATTTCTATGTAACTTTAACCATTAAGGATGCGCACGCGACGGAAGCTTAAAAAATGGAGTAACTTCTCCCGTTTTCCCAACATTTCCCTTCATTACTCTGCTCCTATTGATTGTAGCGTGATTAAAAGTATACTATAACCTGCCCAGGAGTATGAAGAATAATTGTACCAAGTTTCGTTAAAATCCGTCGAGTAGTTTTTGTTTCTATAAGGAACATACACACAGACAGACAGACAGACAAAAATTTTACTGATTGCATTTTTGGCATCAGTATTGATCACTAATCACCCCCTGATAGTTATTTTGAAAATATATTTCATGTACAGAATTGACCCCTCTACAGATTTATTATAAGTATGGATTATATT